TAATCTTAACTTGATTAAGCGTTCAAATGTTTTTGTTATGCACGATATTAATGCTATAGGACGGTATGATGAAGGTAAATCAGGATTTTTCTGCGGTTTTAGTATGGGACAGATTATAATATCTTTAAATTTTTCTGTGTATTCTTGTTTCATCCACCAATTGTTAAAGATTGTTAAGAGTGCGAGTTTAGCTATGGGTGGTAAATTATATAGAATTTTATAGGTAAACCCGTCTAGCCCAGGTGCTGTATTTCGTGTGTTTTTCAAAATCAAATCCAATTCAGAGTAGCTAAAAGATTTCAACAAATAATCTGACTCAGAGTGAAATATAAATTGAGGACCAAAGAGATTACCAGGGACAGATGGAGGGGCTAAAATATCGAATAGTTTTTTTATTAATTCATTTGAGATTTGAGTTTTTTTGGACGTATGAGATTTTTTATTTATTGACTTCATAAATCGCCATATATCTGATATTGGTGTGCTTTTATTTATTTGGTTTATAAACGAAATCCAACTGGATTTTCGTTTTTGTTTAAATAGCCGTTTCGTTTTTGCCGCTATACTTTGGTAATGCAGATAATTTACATAATTTGATTGTTTTTTATATTCATTTAATGCTTGTCTTCGAATTGAAGTCATATTTGAGCATTTTTCATCCCACCAAAATGGCCTATAAGTAGTGGGTTTAAATGGTTTTTTAGTGGGCATAGAGTTTGTTGCAGCAGAATTAATAGTATCGAAGATGAACTCGATTTTCTCACAATCATTTAGGGAGTCAAAAGAAGGCAGATTTTCAAATGAAGATATAATACTTGTTTGGAAACTGGGCCAGTCGGCTTTTAAATCATTCCATTTAGTAGAAGGGTTTATTTGAAAGGATGACGGATTTATTTGAAGTTCGATATAAATTGGAAAATGATATGATCCCAATGTGTCTGGTAATACCTCCCAATTGAATAAGTCTGCATAACGAGGAGCAGTAACAGTTAAGTTATTAAATAATTTGTCCCCCCGCTGATGTGTAAATACACGAACTGTGCTCTCCGGCATACAACACAGAAGCTCATTATGCAAGGCGCGCTTGGTGCCGTTTTTCTCGAAATCGGGCAAATTTTCGAGAAAAATCATAGGAACCATTTTTGTAGAAAATTAACTGAACTTCAATTTTTATCTGATCCAAAAATCTTTAACTGCCATATTTTAGGAGATATTGGCTGAAAACCTATATTTCTGGTCTTTTGGGGCCATTTTCTCGGCCATCGCACGCGTTTTCCACGCAAACTTTGTCCCATGTTTAATAAGGTACCAAATGCTACTTCCAACCGGAAGATGAAAATAGGGCGTAATTAAGTCCAACTTTATCCCTTTATTTATTGGACTATAATAGAAAATAGGATAGAAGAAAGAAGAAAAAATAAAGAATGGAAATGACTGGAAATTAGTGGTTAAACATTTACAAGATAATAGATTTGAAATGTTAGGAGAAAAAGAAGAACGTTTGAAAGACAAAATAAAGAAAGAAATAGTCGAACAAAAAATTAAAAAAAAAAAAGAATTTAGTAAAGAAACAAAAGAGATAGGAATAGAAATTGAAGAATTATGTATAAGTAAACAAAATAAATGAAAAACAAAAATTGAAGAATTAAAGAAGAAATCGGGAAAGAAAAAGGATAATATAAAAATAATCAAACAGGACAACAGAGTATACAAGGAAGGTAAAATTAAAATAAATGGAGAATAATTATTAAACGAAGAAGTAATTAAGAAGATAAATAAATATAAGAAACAAAAGATAATAAGAAATAAGAAAACTAAAATTATAAACAATAAATTTAGTGCTAAACAGAAGAGTGAAAATGTATGAAAGACGAAAATGAAAATGAAATATAGGCAGGAATTGATAAAAATTACGAAAAATAGGAGATTATCGGAGAAAGAAAGAGTAAGGACGAAAGTAAAAGAGAAGAAATAAATTAAATAGGTGGATGGAAAACTTGAAAATCAAAATAAGCACAGAATATGGAAAACGATTTGAAAATAAGAAATATTATATTGTATATAGGATAGTTTAACAGCTCACTAGATAAGTAAAATAAAAAATATTTAGCAAACAAAATTTAAAACTAAAAATAAGAGACCGATTAGAGATATTTAAAATAAAAAAAAAATTTTTTATTAATAATTCCATTGTTTATTAAGTTAACAATTTGTTATAAACAAATTCCCAACTTTGGTTTATTTTTTTCCTGAACGAAATAAAAATTCCAAAAACGACTTAGTGCATTATTACGGAAAAAATTTAATTTCATTTTTTATTAAACTTTGAAAATATACGTACTATCAAAGTTGCAGCAGCTGATCCATTTGTTGACTTAAAAGTTGATATAACTTTTAAACTATTGGAGATACCACAATAAACATTCAAGTCATTTTTGTAGGCAATAAAATTATTTCTCAGATAAGTCATTTGTCAATTCCGTACCTATTGTCAATTTCTTCTTTTTTATATTTGTTTATAAAAATTGATTTTTTTTAAGTTTTTCGAACTTTTGCGGCTTGTAGCTCAGTAAATAATGCAAATTCGGTTATTAAACTTTAAAGCAATTCTGTTAAGCTATATTATATAATATTTGCAATTGTTTATTTAATTTTCAGTCAATTTTTTTATAAACGATTGTAATTTTTTTACTAAATTTTTGGAAAGTTTATGCATTCATATTATTTTCAATTTTTTACATAATATTGCACAGTGTTTTTGTTACAAATCTTTAAAATTTAGTCAGACTTTTTTTACTGATTCGTTTTTGTCTTTTGCTTCGAGTTTTGTACGTTTCAATGTGCAGCTGCGTGTTTGCAGGTCAAATCTTTTGTCCGATCCCCTCAACATAATTCATTTTACGACTTTTCTTTCAATTATTTATAGATATATATAGATATATAGATTTATAGATAGATAATAGTAAGTAAATAGCTAGAAGTAAAAAATTCCCAAAGATTTAGTAAAAAAATTATGATAGTTTATAAAAAAATTGACTGAAAATTAAATAAACAGTTGTAAATGTTATATAATTAATAGCTTAACAGAATTGCTTTAAAGTTCAATAACCGAATTTGCATTATTTACTGAGCTACAAGCCGCAAAAGTTCGAAAAACTTAAAAAAAATCAATTTTCATAAACAAATATAAAAAACAACAAATTGACAATAGGTACGGAATTGACAAATGACTTATCTGAGAGATAATTTCATTGCCTACAAAAATGACTTGAATGTTTATTCGTATCTCCAATAGTTTAAAAGTTATATCAACTTTTAAGTCAACAAATATATCAGCTGCTGCAACTTTGATAGTACGTATATTTTCAAAGTTTAATTAAAAATGGAATAAATTTTTTTTCGTAATTTTAATGCACTAAGTCGTTTTTGGAATTTTTATTTCTTTCAGTAAAAAAATAAACCAAAGTTGGGAATTTGTTTATAACAAATTGTTAACTTAATAAACAATGGAATTATTAATAAAAAAAAAAAATTTTGCTGTCACTTTGTAGAGGACTGTCAATTATGATTTTTAAAAAAAAAGCACATTTCTTAACTAATAATTTAAACAATAGATATATTAAAAACCGATTATAAACAATTAAAAGTTATTATTAAGAAAAATTTTTTTTTAAAAATCATAATAGGCAATTGTCTAGAAAGTTGTAAAACAAAATTTGAAAAAAAATGAAATACTCCATTTGTTTATGTGTCTTTTCTCGACATTAAAACAGTAATATTATGATAAATTGAAAAATAATTTTTTTTATAGCACCACTGTGACTTTTCTGTTTTTGTAAACTTTAAAAAATTATTATGAACAAAGTATTAACATTTTTTAAACGTTTATGAAGCTATTTTGTTTTATATGTATATAAAAACAGCTCCACGATGCAAAAAAAAATTATGGTAATTATTTAATATTTTTATCAATTTGTAATGATGAGAGAAATTCTAAAAATTTTGTTAATTAACAATAACCTACTTTGTTGGAAAATTAATTTTTATGAAAAATTTCAACGGGAATGAATTCTTCTAAGTGTTTAGAATACACCGTAAATATTTAAAATTTGTGAATTTAATTTTATTAACTTAAAAAATTATTTTATGTAACTTACTCGGTTTCGACGCCGTGCGTGCAACCTAAAAATGGCGCGCGGAAGGCTACTTTGAGCGTTAAATTAAAATTATAAATAATGGAGGTACAGTTCCGGGAGTCAGAACTTATTTATAGCAAATTTCCTCCTCTTTAAGGATCTTTTTTGAAAAATCCAAAAATATTTATAGTTTACAAACTATAGGAGGAAAACCAAACACCATGTTTTTGAGGTGTTTAATTGTTTATAACTTTTGCAATTTTTTATGCAATGCAAAATTTTTCTTCACACATTGATCTAGACATTATTTCGAATCGAGTGAGCTATTGAACATAATTTTCGTAATAGTATGTCCCAAAGACACGCTTTTGAACTTGTTGATTAGACTAAAACGATTTAAAAGTACTACAATCATTTTGTATGTTTGTAGTTTTCGGTAATTGCAGTGAAAATTAATAATTTCGATTTTTATAATGGAACTTTACAATATAAAATATTTTCTTTTTATTTTTTCAAATTTTTTCATTCACTACATAAAACTACAAATAATTCCAAATACAAATTTAGCAGTTTTAAATAATAATAATATTAAATAGATTTAAAATTATAATTAATAAGTTTTTTTGTAAAAACCTTAAAATTACAAAAAAAAAATAAAAGTCACTACAATCATGTACATCGTTTGTAGTTTTAATTCATAAAAATATTTTTTTAATTTGATATTAGTCGGGTTCCAAAATGACGGAGCCGTAATATGCGTGCATTTTTTAAATAAGAAATATGCATATATGCGCATATTATTGTTATTATTATGATTAAATTTTTGCATATATTTCGTCCTTTAGCAATAAGAAAGTGACTTACCTTAATATCCGGAAAATATTTATGTCTTGCACAATTTATAGCATAGCCATTAGCAATAGATCCACCCGGGCAAAAAATACCATCGCCATTACCGTCTTTATACCCAACGATCTTCCTCATTTCCTTTAAGACGGTTTCTTCCATCAAAGAGAATACTGGAGACACTTCATAGGTGTAAACACTCGAGTTCAATGCATCCGTAAGCCACTGTCCAATTAACCCATATGGATCCACAGAAGAAAAGAGCTGATTGACAAAATATGGATGTCCAGTTTTCACCGAATAATGAATGGTATCTTGCAGAATCTTCAGCAAATCCAAATGAGTAGTCGGAGAACCCCTTAATTTAAAATCAAAAAGATTTGGAAGTTCTTCAGGATTTTGGAAATTCAGCACTTTATTTTCCCGGCTGGTTCCCTCGAACACGGCATTTTTGATCAACAATTCGAAGCAGTCTCGAAAAAAGTCTTCGTGGTCTTTTCTCGTGGAGTAACTTTGAAAAGTCGCGAGTTTCGATTGGACGTTCGGGAACACTTTTAAGTTGGTTTTTCCGGTAAATGTGTCTTCGTCTGACGAAGACGCCACTGCGTCGCTGTACGATGCAGGCTCGTCTATAACACTCGGTATACGTTCGTCAGCGTTAGCCGGCATATTCGAATTTTTACAACGGTGAATGACAAATGTTTTACTATCGGTTCTCGCGATGGTTTTAATAAGAATGGTCACGTGTAGAACCTTGTTCGTGACTTTCCTTTGCGAAATAATAATTCAAAAAATATTGTACCTAACTACAGGATGGGTAAATCTATTTTATGTCTTCTGCGGAGGTGCAAGTGTGACGGAAAAATGAAATATACAGTTTTTTATTTATTAATACTCTCAAGGGAAGGATTTATTATTATTACAATCTCATCAATAAGATCAATACGCAAATTTTATTATAATAGTCTCTACTCTTTAAACAATGAAAATAGTAATAATAATATAGGAATGTCGTCTGGACAATGTATAAAAGTAGGACAATTGTACAAAAAAAGCCTGATCTTTCTCAAAAAAGACGGTCATTTCTTTCTCAAAATGTGGCCTTCAAAAATATTTTTTGTTGTTTTTTCAAATTTTAAAGATTGTAGAATAATTAACTTGGAAATAGTGATTAAATGAGGACAACAATGTCGATTTGTTAAAAATTTCAAATTCAACTTTGATACCTTGTAACTTCAAAACTGTTTAAATTTCAAAATGCGGTTTTTAAAATTATATTTCTACCCCAAAAATTAACATGTTTTTTTTTAATTACATATTAAACGCATATAAGGATCATTGAGTGTACATATATGTATTTATTCATGAGAATTTAGAATTATATCTGTCATGTTCTGTTAATTCAAATATGCGCGGTGTTGCCTAGTGTCTAATTAAAATCAACGGAAAAGAAATTTAAAAAATACATTATTTTTGACATAATATTTCCATACATTTTAAAAAGCACTTCTATAATTTATTTCTAGTCACATCTGACGATTTATTTATCCATTTTGATTGAATTGTTGTAGTACATAATAATTAAATATTAATATTACTACATCATCTATAAAGTAATAAACAAAGTACTTTTCGAAAACTTTTAAACATAATTTTATTATTACTTTGTATTATCCAAAAGTTTAAAACAAGTGAATTTATTTGGTTGACAAAATGACGCCAGCTAGCCAAATTTGAAGGCTACTACTACTATCAACAAAAGCATAGCTGAATTAGTTCAATTTGTGTTGGGTTAACTGTGACGTCACTCGGTGAATACTTTAAAAGTAATCCCATTTAAAACGTTCATCGATACACCCTTTTTTTAATTACGACGTTCAAATATTTTTAAATTCAAAAGGTCATTCTGACCCAGAGAAATAATTAAACACATTTAAAAATTATAGGAATAAATAAATAGGCAAATAGTAGGTCATACATTTAAATACTATGGCCATGTTATCTAAACATTTTTTTAATTAAGAAATATTGAGAAATTTTAAATGTTAAGGTATAAGTCAAAATGTATATACAGAGTGTACAAAAAGTAACGTAACATACTAATATTTAGATTCCTGATAAGTTTACAAAACAATTTTGAATAAAATTTTATGAAATGAAATGAATCAAATTCGCGCGAATTTCGAAACGTCAGTCTAGCGCGCTCGCTTCGCTCGTCCCCTCTGTACTGATTTGGAGGTGGGGGAGAGAAGCGTAGCGTGATCTTATGAAAAAACTGTTGCCATGAAAACGCTTGTCATACTAACGACTAAACAAATCCCGTAGTGAAAAAATGCCTAGTTGCCAAGTTATAGATGGTTTCATTTTCACTTTAGTTTAGATTGAAATATTATATTTAGAGTTAACGAGGACTAGAACACACCAAAAGATAGTGCCGTGAAGTGGAACTTAGTATAAACTCTACAAAAACAACACTAGTAGCCTTTTCAAGGAAAAGATAACTTAATCTTAAAACCGTTAAATTAGACGGGGTAGATATAGAATGAAAAAATGAAGTCAAATATCTAGACCTAACCCTGGACAACAAACTTCTCTGGAACACACATGAGAAGGAAGTAGTAAATAAGGCCACAAAAGTCCTAATGGTATGCAGAAACATGGCGGGTAAACGATGGGGATGTAACCCAAACATACTGCGATGGATATATACTGCAATAGTGAGACCAACTTACGGGGCTATAGCCTGGAGTAACAGAACTAGTTTAGTTACTACGAGAGCTAATATCTCAAAAGTACAAAGACTAGCCTGTGTTTGCATTACTGGTGCAATGAGAACCTGTCCTACGGCCGCAATGGAGGTGATCTTAAACCTAACCCCTCTACATTTAATGATAGAGAATGTGGCAAAAAAGACACGATATAGAATGATCAGGAGCGGAGTAATCAGACGAAAGTCTACTTGCTTCAGGACTAAAGATACCTGGGACATGCCCCAGGATGAAATGCAAAAGAAGTACAGTTTTGTGAAAAACTTCAAAACCACAGAGCTGGGCTGCAAGAAAGAATGGAGCCAAGAATCCATTGCGCTTGCAACCGAAAGACGTGCTATTCAGTGGTACACGGACGGTTCCAAAACCATAGAAGGAACTGGAATAGGAGTGTATGGGCCGAGAACCAAGCACTCCGAAAGCTTGGGAAAATACCCAAGAATCTTCCAGGCGGAAATTCACGCCATCGAGAAGTGTATCCAGTTTAACATCGAGAGAAACTATCATAGACAAGAGATTATCATCATGTCCGATAGTCAAGCAGCCATCAAAGCGCTGAGTGCTTACGTAATCAGCTCAAAAATGGTATGGAGATGCCTAGAACAATTGAATGAGCTAGGCGAGAAAAATAGAGTTACTCTCACTTGGGTCCCGGGACATAACGGGGTACAGGGTAACGAGATTGCAGATAGTCTTGCAAGGAAAGGGGCTCAAACACCCTTTGTAGGACCTGAGCCGTTCTGCGGTATCAGCAGTAACATAATATTAGAAGAGATTAAAAAAGAATTGGGTAGTAGAAGAACCGATAATTGGAGCAATCTCTTGGGGCTGAGACAGGCCAAGATACTTCTGGGTAAATATAACCAAAAAAGATCGGAAGCCTGTATCTGCCTGAGCAAGAACAGGCTACGTATTGTAACAGGGATCCTTACCGGGCACTGCCGACTAAAAGGACAACTTAGTAAACTGAGAGTAGTAGAGGATAGTGAGTGCAGATTCTGTGAGGAGGAGGACGAAACCTCCATTCACATCCTAACTGAATGTGTAGCACTCCAGAATCCAAGGGCACTATATCTAGGAGGATATCAAATAGAAGAGGGAGACTTACCTAACTTGAAGCCACTTCAAATCCTACACTTCCTTGAGAAAATAGGATAGGAAGGGTCGCTATAGGCATTGAGACATTTCCTTAGTGCAGTGGCGACAGAAGGGGGCACAATAGATCTTTTAGGTCGCAGTGTATTAACACCCCATTATCAACATAACATAGAGTTAATATAAATATAAAAGGCAACTGCGCATTTCCTCACTATTATTTAGGTTTTTATTTAGTCGACGTCACAACAAGTATTCCTATGGCAACGATTTCTCCGTAACCGATTTGGGTTTTTGTTTAGTCGTTACCATGACAAGTGTCTATGGCAACAGTTTCTCTGTAACTGATTAAAGCTAAATAAACTCATCTGTAACTTGGCAACCACGCACTTTCTCACCACGGGATTTGGTTTTTAACTTGGCAATCACGCATTTCCTTACCACGATATTTGGTTTTTTGTTTAGTCATTACTATGTCAAGCGTTCTCATGGCAACAGTTTCACCAGAACTGTTTTCGTCTAAAATAAGGTGAACATTAAATGATCTATAACTTGGCAACTATTCATTTCCTCACTACGAGATTTGGGTTTGCGTTTACTGCTTACCATGGCAACAATTTTTACGTAACTGATTTCGGCTAAACAAAATTTACCTCAAATTTCGTTTAGAAATTCCCAGACTTAAATTAAATTTGACATATAAAAGGTTACCACGGTATGTGTGACGTCACCACAAAAACCACAATACTGTAACCAAGTATGTTTTAGTAAGCTTACAAGAAAATGCCTTAAAAGTATCCACTGAGTGACGTGACAGTTAACCCAGCACAAATTGAACAAATTCAGCTATCCTCTTGTTAATAATACTCTTTTAACATGGCAGGCTAGCGTCATTTGTCAAACAAATAAATTCACTTGATTCAAAAAAGTTTTAAAAACTTTAGGATAGCACAAAGTAATTATGTTACAAAGTTTTCGAAAAGTACATTGTTTATTACTTTATAGATGACGTAATTAATATTCAAAAATTATGTACTACAACAATTCAATCAAAATGGATAAATAAATCATACTGCTTTTAAAAGAGTATGGAAATGGTATGTCAAAAATAAGGTATTTTTTGTATTTCTTTTTTGTTGATTTTAATTGGACACTTGGCAAAACCGCGCTAATTTGTATTGACAGAGCATGACAGATATAATTCTAAAGAATGTTTGAAATGTATGGAATGTTAGGAATATTAGACGTTAGGAATGATCAGAATGCGTGGTCGCATTGAATTGCACAGGCGGATTTTAAGAACATTGATATTAAAGTAGTTAGGATGGACCAAAAATTCTAAAAATCAATAGGGTTCTAAGTTAGAAGCAATTATTCAAGAAAATCAAAACCGCAAGTCAATCAGAACTTTCGTTCTAGAGTTATCGTGCCGGCATACATACAAACAAACGACCAGTCGAATTTTTTTGCATTTTTGGACTCAGAATGATCGAAAAAGTGAAAAAAGTATAAAAAAATTGGGGGTAAGAAAATTTTTTCGTCTGCACGAATGCAATACTGAGGCCTATAGGAAGGGCCTCAGTAATTGTTAAAAAATCCAAGTTCAACTTTGATACCTTGTAACTTTAAAACTAGTTGAAATTTTAAAATGTGCCCTTTAAAAGCATATAAAATTTTAATAAAATATATCGATCGTATATTATATAATACCGATCGATACTACCGATCAATCGGTCTCAACGACGCGCGACATTCTGATAATAAAACTTTAGTGCCTACATCACCAGGCGTTTTCGTGTGATGTTGGTTAGATTTTTATGGTTGACCG